GCCCCCAAGTCAAACTGATCTGAAGGTCATTTAAATGTGTGCCAGAACAAAGCCCAGTACTCGTCAAAGGCGTATAACTAAATCGAGCACTCAAAACTATAAAACTCACAGTGCCCACCAGCCAGTCAAAATTATTATGCTTGCATATAAGAAAACATGGCTCATAATTAGGAGAAGAATTACTCCATAAAAACAGATTCAAAATGACAGTGATGATGGAGTATTTGAAAGATCCAGGCCTGGACGGGGTGGCTTAGTTTGTTGGGCACCGTCCTGTTCAGCAACATCTACCTACCTGTCCTGGGGTCCATTCTGACTGCTGGCTCAGGGAAGCCACGGTGTCGATGGAGCTGAGGTCCAGCTGCTCCAGCTCACTCTCGTTAAGAGCCAGAGCAATGCGGCCCAGCGAGACGATGTGGTGTTCTCTCCAGTAAGAAGGCGTGTCCCAGACCTTCCGAGGGAAAGAAGCCAGCTTAGACTGAGCTTCACTGACAGTATTTAAAACAGACATAGGGTAAAACTCTTTAATATATATAAACTTTTTTGTGAATCATTAAGAAAAAGATGATTATATTTGTTTTAAAAATACCCAAAAGATATGAACAGAAAATTCCTAAAAGAATAAATAAACAGCCCTGACTGATTTGGCTCAGTGGATAGAGTGTCAGCCTGCGGATGCAAGGGCCCCAGGTTCGATTCCAGTCAAGGGCATGTACCTTGGTTGCGGGCACATCCCCAGTAGGGGGCGTGCAGGAGGCAGCTGATCGATGTTTCTCTCTCATCGATGTTTCTAACTCTCTATTCCTCTCCCTTCCTCTCTGTAAAAAATCAATAAAGTATATATATTTTTAAAAAAGAATAAATAAACATATGAGGGGAAATTCTCTCTCAGTCATAACTTTTTAAAATGTACATTAACAACAATCAAAGAACACCATGTAAGGAGTAAAAAGAATGAGCATTTATTGGTGCTGGTCAGTGCACTCCCACAGGGGGAGCACCGCTCAGCCACAAGCCGGGCTCACTGCTGGCAAGCACAGCGGCGGTGGCAAGAGCCTCTCGTGCCTCTGCGGCAGCGCTAAGGATATCCAACTGACGGCTTAGGCATCCCCCGAGGTCTCCCAGACTGGGAGGGGGCGCAGGCCAGGCTGAGGGACACCCCTCCCCCCCCCCTACCGACTGCATGAATTTTGTGCACCAGGCCTCTAGTATATAATAAAAGTTTTAAAAATATTTATACTCTTTTACCCAGAAATTCTATCTCTGGAAATTTAACCTAAGTAAATAATGAGACAAGTACCCAAAGAAATATGTGCAAATATGGACCTTGAGGCATTAAAAATATAAACAATCTAAAAGTCTACCAATTATGCTCAGCTGGTGTTGAGTGTCAACCTATGAACCAGGAGGTCACTGTTTGATTCCTGGTCAGGGCACATGACTTGGTGTGCAGGAGGCAGCCAGTCAATGATTCTTTCTCATCATTGATGTTTTTATCTCTCTCTCCCTCTTCCTTCCTCTCTGAAATCAATAGAAATATATTTTAAAAAATAATAAAGTCTACTAATTAGCTAAATAAATAAGAACCAGTCGTAAAATAAAATATTATATAGCTTTTTAAAATACGGACATAAATTTATATTTCTGATGTGGCAAATATACATTGTATAGTGTTGGGTGTGGGCTGATGTTATTGAATAGTAGGTAAGTGTGATACTATTTTTTAGTATGAAATAGTAAATATACTTTACATATACTAGTACACACAGAAATCTAGTTCGCTCCAGGTGAATATACCAAAATATTAACAGTGCTTATCTCTAGCTGAGAGATTATGACTAATCTCCTTTCTTATTTTCTGACTTTTCTGTAATCCTATATAACAGTGGTTCTCAACTTTCTGGCCCTTTAAATACAGTTCCTCATGTTGTGACCCAACCATAAAATTATTTTCATTGCCACTTTATAACTGTCATGTTGCTACTGTTATGAATCATAATGTAAATATCTGATATGCAGGATGGTCTTAGGCGACCCCTGTGAAAGGGTCATTGGACCACCAAAGGGGTGACCCACAGGTTGAGAACCGCTGCTATATAATAAAACCCTAATATGCAAATCGACCGAACAGAGGAAGGACTGGTTGCTATGATGTGCACTGACCACCAGGGAGCAGATGTTCAATGCAGGAGCTGCCCCCTGGTGGTCAGTGCGCTCCCACAGGGGGAGCGCCACTCAGCCAGAAGCCGGGCTCACAGTTGTCGAGCACAGCAGTGGTGGCAGGAGCCTCTCCTGCCTCTGAGGCAGTGCTAAGGAGCAGCGAGCGGACCTAAGCCAGCAGGTGGACATCCCCTGAGGGGTCCTGGACTGCGAGAGGGCACAGGCAGGCTGAGGGACCCCCTCCCCAGTGCATGAATGCTGTGCACCGGGCCTCTAGTAATATATTCTACAGCTCTCCTAACAGCTGAAACAATAAAAATGGCAAACTTCTGGTTCTTTTCAGCTCGGGCTCTGGGGGAGGAAGAAAAAGAGCACCTCCTAGTGCTCAGGCCCAGACCACACGCAGGATGGGTTCACCCACAGATGGGGTTCACCTACAGATGGGATTCACCCACAGATGGGGTTTACACAGATGGGGTTCAACCTCAGGATGGGGCTCACCAGTGAATGGGGTTCACTACAGATGGGGTTCACCCATAGGATGGGTTCACCCATAATGGGGTTCACCCGCAGTTGGGGTCCACCCACACATGGGGTTCATGGAGCGTCCAGTGGACAGTCTTTGCACAGCCCGGGGAGGAAACTGAGGTACAGAGGGGAGGCCTGGATCCTTCACGCAGTGAAATTGCAACAAGAGAACAGGTGACGTCCGTCCTTGCTGGCTCGGCGCTCCGTGGCAGACCCACTGGGAGCGTGGTGGTGGGTTTTCCTTGTTAACATCCCTCCCAGGTGGACTGTACCTGGATCGCCTTCTCCTTTAGGGCGGTCAGCTGAGGCCGGAGGAAGCCCCCAACGGCCCCCAGAAGCTCCACGCTCCTGAGGAACGTGGCTTCCTCCAGGCAGCGCAGGTCCTGGGGGGCCCAGCAGGCATTGGCTTCGGCCAACTTGAAGATGTCGTCGGAAGAGGGAGCCTCAACTCCATGGCAACCTGAGATGGGGAGACGCAGGGGTGGGGGGGGGGGGGTGGAGGAAAGCAGCTCAGGAAATGGAGTGTTTCTGTGCTGACATGAGTAATGCTCCTGTCGGCTCCATCCCCTAGAGGCAATGCAATGGAGGAGCTGACAGCAGGGACCAGGGACCGTTTGAGCCCCACTTCTGCCATTTCTCGCTAATTACCTGGTAACAAAATCGTGAAAAT